AATTTGCATCTGGCTTCACCTTTCCTGACATCAGGAATCCAACAGCATTTTTTTTTTTTTTTAACTATTTTTCCTTAAGTTATTGGCCAGCAATTGCAACAGATACTGACAGGAAGTATTGTATCAGCTGTTTGATTATGATCAATTTAATTGACCAAAAGAGAAAACAGAGAAGTCAGTTGAGATGTTCTGGATGGGATGCTCCTCAACTGGACTGCCAGAAATTAGAAGCAGCTCTCTCTCTCTCACACACACCCTCCTCGCAGTACTGGATTCAACAGTAATACAATTAAGAGGAAACTGTGTGGACAGTTATACTTTAAACTTGCAAATAGTTATACATGAGCAAATCTTACACATCAAAAGTGTGAGACCTCATGAGTAGGACCACTCATGTAAACCACTTAACATATATAGGTGCAGGTGTTCATAGGACTAGGAGCTACATTTAAAACTTTTCCCCATCTTCTCCCCTATACCTGTTTCCTCAGGAAGGCATCCTTTATTTTACGTATAGGCATAATGCAGAAACAGTTACTTAAACATTCCAGTAATAAAAAGGTATTATACATTTTAGTCCTGTGAAATATATTTTGCCTCTTTGTAATTCAACACACATAATCTTTTCCTCACTATTCAGATTATTCGTCTGTTGTATTTCGTTCTGTCCATAGCAGAAAAGCTGTACGCATATTAGAAATTCAGACTGTAGAACAGGTGTTACCCAAATCTTACAAAAAAGAATATACTTACAATAGATTTGTTTGAGTACATCAGTGTAGAACTCAATGCAAGTACATATGCGCCTCATGTACACACCTAGTTTTATTTTTAATGATATCCATCAGAGGTGCATACATATACATCGTTGCACTCCCACGCAAGCATAAAAAGGGCAAAAGTAGCCATACTCCTTCGCAACTCAAAACCTGTGATAGCTGAGGATTCCAGAAAGCCCGGATACAATCCATCATCTCAAAGAACTAGAGTTTACCTTAGTGTTCTTCTTTGGATACTATAGAGTCCACTGTAGGTAAATGTCAAGCTGTACACTCTCATGACACTGTATGAGGAAATTCAGTTGCAGAGTAAGAGCAAATGTAGCACTGCTTTCCTAACCCTGTCATCTCATATAGTAGATGAATTGAAGGACAAAAGTCACTTTAAAATATACTGATGCCTTACAGATTTCTGAAGCTGGCACATGCCAGAAGTAGGCATAGAATGTTTTGAGCTCTGACAGAGTAAGCCTTATTATTCTATGTAAGGTACATCAGCCAACTGATAACAAAAACACAGGGCGCATCTACACAAGATGCTAAATGCACCAATTAATTCTATTGCTCATTAGCATGGCAGGCAAAAACTGTGCTCATGTGCTAATGCACAGCAGAATTAGTCTACTGTGCATTAGCGTCACAAAAAAAGTGTGCATGGAGCTACTGCGCAGTAGCACCAATTATGGAGCATTAAATTCGTACCTGTTATTATAGTCAACTGCATTACACAAACAGGTGTAATACCAGGTACTAACTTAATGCTCCATAATTATGGTGCATTAATGAACATGCAGACACACTCACAGTGTAACTCATCTCCATATCAGATGACCAGAATGTACCGTCACAGCCTGAGTGATAGGGTGCAGCAACATTGGGTCTGGAGAGAGGATATGGCCAGTGCTGCAAAATCATATCCAGGAAGATGCTGTAGGATTTAGATTAACAACTAAAAGCCAGAAATGCCTCAGGCCAAGAGAGACACCAGAATGTCTCTTGGAAATCGCTGCCGGAATTAAGACAATTTGGCAGGAAGGAGTAGAGCAGGCCTCTGTGCTCCACTTGAGAAATGGCATCTGGTAGCAACTGTGAGCACACATCTCCTCTGAAACAAAACTGATTTATCACTTTTCAGTGATTCCCCACTGACGAATTATCTCTTTGTGCTGCATCTGTACAAGGACTATTCAAGTTTGTTCACCAATTACCTATTTGGGTTATGGGTAACTCCTGGGAGTGGGACGACCCTGCTCCCAGGAGAGTTACTCTGCTTTGATGCCAATAATTCTGGAAATCAGTAGGCAGAGAGAAACAAAGTATGGGCCCCGCTGTTTGTTTCTATAGTGTACAGCTGATTATTTTCTCCAAAGTTTGGCATTACCAATCTTTGGAAAGTAATCTGATAGTTCTGAGCTCTTGGACTTGTATGCATTCCCTGTCATGTGGCAACCAGATTCCTAGCCCAAGTGAGCTCTGAAACCTGACCCTGACACATCCATGATTGACGCCTTTATAGAGAGGGTACTAAAGCAGGGACCACTGTTTATAGGTTCCTGCTACAAGGCCATGTTTACACTAATATGATATGGGATTAAAACCTTTGTCTTTATTAAGTGTTAGGCTACTGAATAGAATAATCCAAGATAGATACAAAAGTGTCACTGCTGAAATCTAGCCAGCAATATGCAGCCACCATGATGGGATATGATATAGTTAGGGGCTTCCTACAGAGGGTGGGTGTAATAACCAATAATTTCAATGGGGGGGTGGGGGGAGTGGCTCCCACTGCTGCTTGCACCACAGGAGGGCAGGTCATGTACTCCCTGGATCTGTACAGGGTGAGTGGGTGGGCTGCAGCTGTGGGCCAGAGCCAGGCTCTTCTCTCTGGGGGCTAGTCTCGGAGCGGGGGCTACGGAAGGGGCTGCAGCCACCCCAAATTTCACCGTAGCTCCCTCCCAGTGCCGCCGCCATGAGCCCAGCGCAGCCCCGGCGCAACCTGCATTCCCCCACACAGGGCATAGGATGGAGGTGCAGCTTGTCAGGGAGTGGGGAGGGGGGGGGCAGCTGCCTCCCAGTACTGCCGCTTCTGCGCACCCAGTGCAGCCCTGGCTCTTCTTAGCACGTGGGGGGAGGCAGGGATTGAGCTGTGAAAAGCCGGGCTGCATCAGGCTGGGAGGGAGCTATGGTGAAATCTGGGGTGGCTGCAGCACCCTCCGTAGCCCCCGCCCTGAGCCAGCCCCTGGCAAGAAGAGCCCGGCTCCAGCCCACAGCTACAGCCTGTCCGCTCACCCCACACAGATCCAGAGGGCACATGCCCCACCTTCCTGGCGTGCAAGCAGTGGCAGGAGCCCTTCCCCCCCATGAGCCACACCTCCATCCTCCACCCCGCCCCAGATGGGCAGCGCCTGCCACTGCCTTCTCCCTCACCATTTGGGGGAGGATGATCTGCCCTCCTCCAAAGTGACATGCATCAATTGTTCAAGTAGGTACATTTTCAACTATGCTGGTCCTCATAGGGAATATGCACTCAGTCCACTTACTGAGATGTGACCTGCCTCCCAACAGACCAGACATTAATTATATGCCTTTTGACTAATGTAAGTCTGTCACAGATCAGGTGGTATTTAAACCAGATTCTGAAATTCAGTGTAGCAGCAGGCTTTCGAGCAGGTTGCCCAGCTGTACAGCGGTTGTCGAAAAAGATCTTTTCTTTTAAAACACTAGGAATATTGAAAGTGAAGGAGATTTCTTCATCAAAAAGTTAAAAAGGAAATGAGTTTAGTTGGAAGTAGTTTTCAGACACTTGTTGAGTTTTGTCTCTTTGCCACAGACTAGCAATGGGCATGGACACTATGTCCCTTATTGCCTCTGCACAGGAACAGGGGACAGCACAGGGTGTATATACAGCCCCAAAATAAACTAGTATTCAAAAACACATGAACACCCACAGACAGATCCACACTGATGTAAACTTGAAGAGCTTGTTTATAAACAAGACTTTCAGACTAGAACTATATTTAGAGGTAAAAGGACGAGCACAGTGGGTTACATGCCATTTTGTTCCTGACTTTTAAAATAGTTGTTGCCTTATTTTTTTAATTGTTTGGGTGTTACCAACAACTTTGGCTGAGGGAATGGAAATATGTTAAATAAAAGTATACACAGATTAGCAGAAAACTTTATATTCTGAAGAAAATTTTCATATACAAATTTCATAACAAAACAGTATTAAGATCTGTTTGATGCTAACATATGCATGAATGTAAACAAGGGATTTCTCATCTTAAATTTTCTACAAGATTAAGATTTAAAAAAAGAATCTACCATATCACCTATTTTTGTGTTTCCCATAATAATTCGATCCTTTTTCATTACAGAATTTGGCAGAAGAAATTTTGATGGGTCAGATGAAGCATTTACTTCAAATCAAATAGTTAAAATAATGTGGAACAGAATATTCTAAACCAGTTTTATGGAAACAGTTTCCATTTCCAACGTCTTTACCTTGTAATGAAAGTTTTCATCTTCAAATTTTTCACCATATATGCTTTCTCCACCAGTGCCATTGTGATTTGAGAAGTCTCCGCCCTGGATCATGAATTTCTTTATAACTATAAAGTAAAAATATGAATCATAGAAAATGCAAAAAAGGAAAAAAGATTATATTCAAAGGTGAAGACCAGCCTCACTTCATCAACAGGAATTTTAATTCCCTTCCCATTTGAACTAGACCCCTAACTCAACTATCATTATTACCAGCAATTCAGGCCCTGCTGCGCCTTAATAAATCAAAAGCAAAATTACCCATTCAAATTTCTCACAGATGGCATTGGACAGTATGAGTGACAACCCATATGCCCTTAGACCTAACTTTTTAAAGATATTTAGGCATCTAGTTTGAGACACCTGAATACTTTCAAAATCTAGTCATTAATATCAAGAACTTCCTTCTAATAAGGAAGGATGGAATAGAAAGAAATGCAATCTCAAATATGCAAAATCAGGAACAGCTATCAGTGATGTCCAAACAAAGCTGGAACCACCTCTTATCTACTCCATCCAAGCTTCATTGTTGACCTGACTTCAACATCTCAGCCGGAAGTCCACATCACCTCAGTGGTGAGGTGGTCAGTCTCTGCAAAGTACTTTGCTGTGTTTATAGGCTAGCAATTATAAAAGGAGACAAGGTGTCAGAAGCCTTAAGTAAGTCACTGGACTTCCCTGTGCTTGTTTTACCATCTGTAAAATGAATAAAGAAGTATCACCACTTTCAGAAGGCCCTTAAAGATGCTTTAATGATAGACAAAAAAGTAAAAAAAAATTAATACCTCTAAAAACTGTATATCCTCAAATATAATAAGAGAACATTTTTTTTCCAAAAAGCTTCAGCATTTTATCACCTCAACATGCAACAAAGCCTTCAAAGGCCACAGCTAGTATTGTTCATATTTTTACATTACTCGATCTTTATTTACCGTACTAAAACAATGCCCACATGATTGGAGCTCATGGTAAGGACTGCAAGACAAACCTCACTGACAACTTCCATTGCTTATTGTCTTGGGGGGGAAAACATCAATAAGGACCTGGAGCAAAAGAATTCCCTTGCTTGTGTGAGGTATTATTCACAATGAAACACCTACCACCTAATCAATGTATCAGTGGGTAGCAGTAGACACGCGAAGAGGCTGCTGACACTGTAATTGAGTCAAACAAGCTTTAGTTAAAACACCCCCACTGCCATTTTGAAGCACAGATACACTGATACACAAGACACTGTGGGTGCTTTAATCAGAGCAGCTCTTGAAGCCACTCTAATTAAAGTACCATCCCCCTACCCTCTCAGCATATTAGCTATTAACAGAGCATTCTGTCAATGGAAACAGTAGCTAGAAACCTGGTTCAGAAAAAAAGGATAAAATAAATTAGTGGGAAAAACAATGCAGTTCTACTTTAAGCCAAACTTCTCTTTCAAAAAACCCCCAAAGAACTAATGTTTTGGGGGAGGGAGGGGGGTTTAATAAAACAGTTCGTTACACTTCATCATTTTAAAAGTATGTCTACTGTATTTTGACACACATTTTTCCTTTTTTCAATCACTAATTCAAACAGATTTAAGTAATGAAAATATCAAGGAGGGTTTTTTCCAGTTACATAAATTTAGTCCCTAATTTAGCACGCAGATATGTTTGCACCAGTGTGAATATAGAGTAGACATGATACGCAGCTCTATAACAGCATAAGCTGTCCTGCTCCAGGGTAAAGTTACCTCCCTGAAAGTAAGAAGCAGCCATACACAGGTGTAAGTTACAGTAATGTCCAAGTTGTGATCCAGCTTTGATCAGCTTTATCCCAAGACAGCCATTAGCTCAATACAAACAGGCTACTGCTGGTGCCCTCACCATGTAAGCTGCAAGGCAAGGTAACAGTGCCTACTGCA